AATAAACGTTTCGTGCCTTACTGTGGTCTTCATCAATGTGTGAATTTGGATTATAATAACCGACAATATATATTAATATTCGCAGTAACTTATTTTAAAAAGATGATACGTCTTACGGTTTTCGACGGTATAAACTGATTACTTCGCATCGCGCAATTGATCCTTGTGGAGGAAATTTCAAAAAGACAATTGTACGATCAGGCTTGATCCAAACCATCTCAATTCTGATGATAAAATTGTGAAGTGTTGAGAGAAAATTATTTGATAGAGATATTGTTGAAATTTCTCGACCAACATATTGTAGATAAGTGTCCAACATAGTGTGGACAAGATTAATATAGAATATTCGTTATAAAAATATGTTTTTTTGTTCTAGGCGTTAAAATGTAGTAAGATACAAAACATGAAGAATGACTGTCACTTAAGTAGTGACTGAATATAAATAATAAAAAAAAAGTATTCGTCGTACTTTGTATTACTGTAACTATAAAATAATCCTTGTGTATCTACAAAGATATTAAACGCGAATAACATTTTTATAACATATGACCATTCGTCACGTCATGGCCGTTTTGAATAGCATCAAAGTCGGCTGAAGTGACTTTTGTAATCTGATCAATCCATGAGATACGCCAATTGAATTGAGAAGGCAGAATACGCATATGCAAATTTACAAAGATAAAAAATACTAAGCGTATACACACGCGTTAGTCTCGCTGAGCATCATCTAAAGAAATGTAGAAATAATAAATTACTCTTTGCAAACTAGTTTCAAGGTCAAATAATTTGATAATCGTCTTGTCTGTTAAGCTTTTCAAGATCCAAAGATTGAAATATGAAATTCATCGTTCAACTGATTAAAGTTTGGTAGAAATCTCTGTGAAATATGTAAAAATGCAATTAAACCGGTGAATATCAATTAAACGCGAAATGTCCAAGGTACTTTAGAAAATAATCAGATATGCATTCGCAATGAACGACTGAACAGTAGATTGAAGAGAAAAAAAATATCTTGCTGTAGCACATTGATGTTAATATTTGTGAGTCACGCTAGTAGCAATCCGTGGTGGTCCGTTCAGTTCAATAGAGAAAACATGGGAACGAGTTCAGTCTAGAATCCGTGCAGACATTCCATTCCGAGCTGACCGTCGGTCTCGCAGAGGCCCCTTTTAACTCCGACGTCCGGCGACCATACTTCGACAAGCAAAGGGGAGAGATTGCAGTCTCTGACAGCCCGACGGACGAGCATACCAAAGTCCAGAGATTTCAAATATTAAATCGTGCGATTTCTAACATCGGAAAGTGTAATCATCGTTACAACATTCATTTTAATAGAATAATTACAGACGATTATAAGTGACTTTACTATCTTCCTACAAATCAAACTTTTATGATAGGATTGAAAACTGTAGTTTTCAGTGTCGCTAGCTTAACATATAAATTCTCTAATCTATATATTCTCTCATATATTTCTTTATCTTAAAATGATTAAAATACGTTTTACATTTATATCACATATGCGTTAATCTGTTAATAATTATTTTTTTATATGAAGATTCATGTTATTATTCTCATGATTTATATGAAGCATTTTTCATCAAAATAAAAGTTTCTTAATTTTTTTTACAATACTTTCTTGTTAGTGGCTATTAAATTTCTTATAAATCAATACAGGATATTAAATGTTTAAAAATAATATTAAAAATAAAATAGTATTCAATAAAAATATCACTTTTTTCTTATTATATAATAAAGTTAATCTAAAGAGAAACATTGCATTTTTGTTTATTTTATAATATTATTAATATTATATTTTAAAAAATAATAGATTTTTGTTGTTGGATAATTTCCCTGGAAACAAATTGGTATTCAGTTTTTTTGCAGTATAATATAAAATTTTATTTTTTACCGTATCATGTGCAACCGGCTCAAAAGAAATATTTGCAAGGTGGAATGAGCAGCATTTTCCTCGGTCAAGCGGAATCAAAATTTTTATGGCAGCAAAGCTAGCCTAATTCTGAAGGGATATTACTTGCAAAAATTACCTTTGGGAATGGTTCATATATCTGTGAAATGTTTCTGAAATCTGTGAAAGGTTTCTGATTTAGCATGAATATATATGAGATATAACAAATCCTAGAAAAACGAATGCGTTATAGATATATTGCTTACAGACGCGTTGCTCTATAATTTGTGAGATATTAATTAATATACCTGTGTGTTGTGGTTACGCTCAAAACATCTTTCTATCTTTATGAAGATAGGAAACACGCGTATATTAGTTCTGGAAGTAGTTGTCTGATTAATTATGAAAGAAGAACTACATTCGCGCTAATTGCCTTAATTACAACAACCAGGAGCGTTATACCATCACCGGCATCTGTTTCTCGAGCGCTACGAACCTTGCACAATGATGAACGTCTACTTGAAAGATTCTACGCGAATAGAATCTCTATGTCGAATTTTGAAATTTATTTTTGTCTACAATACTGAATTGTGTGCTGTGGACGTCCCATTATTGTAATGTATGTTCGCTACTGTACGAAGAATGAAGATATATTAGGCGTAACCAAATTCATCTATAAAATGAGGTGCCGCTACAACGCAGGTGATCGCAAGGTGCTAACGATAAATTTCAACTCATAATTCTTCGGACCGTTCTAAAGCTCGTCACCTTGTGTACGCACATGATATAATGTATACCCATTAAATACACAAACAGATACCTTCGGCAGGTCTGTCGCATTCAAAAAAACAGTTTCCAAGATCAATACCTTTGTCATCAAACAAACGTTCATTCGAAATTGCATTTATTTATCTCTATATTATATGATAATATTAATAAATAACAAAGTAAAAAATAAATGTGATTTTGTTTAAATTTTTGTTTTTATATAAAAGAAACAATAATTTTTAAAAAAGAATCGGAACAAATAAAAATATTAATTTACTTTGCAGTAATTTAAAGAATGATAAGTATGTATAATGATGTATAATGATTTTATGTTTAAGATTGTTAAAGTATATTACATAAAATATCATAATATCGTCAAGCCGTCGAGTATATTTTTACATTAGTTAATTATACGCTTCATGATAAAATACAAGCACAATGGAAATATTAATAATATTTATTAAATGAGAGCAAGTATTTAGAGAAATTAGTTGTATTAGAAAATAAATTGTATCTCGTTAATTAAATTATTTACGTTTATGAATATCAAGTAGCAGCTTCAAAATTGATTACAGAAAGTTATGAATTTCTTAGGAATTTTTTTAAGAATAAAATTCAATCCGAAAAACGGATTGTTATAATGTAACTACAACGTAAGTTGTTCATTATTATTATTGTTTTTACAATATAAGTAATGAAAATGAAATGAAGTAAATTTCAATATGTCTATAATGATAATAGCGTGTCCCATTGTTATAAAAATCAATTTATAATTAATTACAGATCTACACATCTACAAACTCACCGACGCCCGCAACATGAATCTTTTTCATCCATGGATAAATCGTACGATCTCTGTTTTCTTCGTCTTCTTCTTCTTCTTCCATCATTCCTGGTGAACCCTCCATCTGACCATCTTCTACATCATCCGCATCCGAGCTGTCTTCGACATGATGTTGTTGCTGCTGCGGTGTTTGTTGCTGACCGCTCTGTATATGTTGAGATTGCTGAGACAACGATTGTTGCGTTTGAAGATCAGGTGAATTATCTCGGTGCAGCTGACCTGAACCGGCGGGACTGCAAGCATTATTCTCGTGTTGTTGCTGATGATGCTGAAGAGCATCCGGCTGCTGCACGTGATTCTGCATTATAGATGGTGACAGAGGCGTGGATCCAAGGATAGTTGATGTTGGTACAGATGGTTGTTGTTGCTGTTGTTGACTCTGTATCGACGACGGACACGTGAGCGGTGGTTGTTGAGCTTCCGGCGGCATCGCTAAAGCGCCGACCGCGTGATGATGAGAATGTAAACTGGCGTGATGAACGGCGTGCACTTGATGATGAGGATGATGAGGGCCGTAATATCCGCCGTATCCCGCGTATCCTCCGTTTAATTGTACCGCGGAAGAAGCCCCGTAAGGAGTCGACGCCGCTTGATGGTGATGCTGATGGTAGCCGTATTGCAGTTGAGATTGTGGATGGCTCAAATGATGACTACCACTACCGCCTGGGAAGAATTCTGGTCCGGTCGATATATAATTATTTTGACTATATTCCTCGCTGGGAGGAAACTTCGGATCGACCATGACGGAAGTGGCAGTTAGATGATGATTTCCAGTTTGCTGTTGATGCTGATGGTGATTCCATCCACCGGCGGCGGATGAAAGGAAGGAATTCATGTTCCCGAATACTTTCTTTTGAAAAACACACACGCACAATAGTCTAAATGAATTTTAAACAATCGCACTTCTCGGTTTTTCCTCTTATCTTGCCCTCTTATCTTGCATCAATTCTTCGATCCGGTACACCATTTCGTGTTAATATTCATTCTCACAAGCTCACACTGCACGACACTGTTCTGTGGTCCATCGTCCACACCTCACCGTCTCTTGCGAAAAGGGGTGACGTTTTCTCGAAAGGAGGAAAAGAGAGAAAGAAGGAGAGGGAGAAAAAGAGAAAAGAAATGGAAAGAGCGGGGCCACAACGAGCACAGGACTCCCGGTGGACAGCTGCTTATTCTCTCCTCTCCTTCCGCCACTTTCGCGATCCTCCACGACCTCGTTCGCTCCTTCCCGCCCACCGGAGCCCAATTACCATACCACGTGACCACAAAACCGACCAATCGGAGCTACTCCTAGTCCGCGACCATGATGGATAACCACGGCACGCATGCAACACGTGAGTGGCGCCGCGAGAACCACTGCGGCAGGTGCAGCAACTTCTTGCTTTGCTTCTCTATTTCATTCGATTGTCATTGGAGATTCCATGGATATTTGTAGTTTATTAATTTCTATATATGTTCTCCAACTATTTTACTTTCTGTATAACACACCATACACTTATCTTTTTCATAAACTTTCACTTTTTATTCACACTATCAACTCAATGAGAGTATCAGACTGATTTTCTTGCAAACAATTGGATGAATTAAGTGTTTCCATATGAATCATATTTTTTTAAGAAACACGTATTCCGTTTGCGCACTGCACTTGTCACTATTTAATCTGAGATTGTATCTGAGATTGTAAATGACTTCTATTAATTGAGATTGAGTCATGTGAGAAACTTCGTCGGAAGATTCTGAAAGTGAGTTCGTCCCGCGTCGGCAGAAACTCGTCTGGCAACTCTGGTTTGCTTCTGACTCCCTCCAGCTCCGTTCGCGCCGGCTGGTTTTGAGCCGATGCGGAGAGCCACGTCCCCTCTTTCTCGTCATGCGTCTTCTCTAGAGCCACCCCCCCCACTTCGCGGCAGCATGAGACCAACCCCTGCCACGGAAACAGTGGATCTCGTGCCCTTATGGGGCATACTCGAGGGTACCTATATATCCGTGGAGTCACTCCTACGTATCCCCTTAACCCGCCTCCATGCTTCTGAAATTCATCTTATAGTTGGAGTCAATGCTAAGAAAAACGGTGGCAATAAACGTTAATACTGTTGATATCGAGTACTATTGCGACAGCAATCGCGCTAATTCAGAATTACTTGTCGTGATCAGCAGGTGTTACCATGATCGCCCATTACACCTCCATTTACCAATATTGTATGAAAACAGGATATTAATTGATCTAATAAAATAGATAAATTTCTTTCTCTATGTTGAAAAAGCACAATTTAATATCTGAAGTTGCTAGAAATGAAATGTATTTATTACTATTGATCGATATTTGTAGAAAGAAATCAGTATATATTTTCTATATGTTAAGTGCAAAATAATGTGTTCATTAATTTTACATTAATTATTATAAAATAGAAAAATAAATAAGATTTGGATAAAAATATATATTTTATATAATTATTATAAATTAACTATTTTTAACTTTAATTGGCACTCAAGTATGATATTACGTAAGGCGAGTTTAAATTAGCTGAATTAATAGTAATAGATCTGCTATTTGATTACATTCTGCTCATATTAATGTACTGGTGTCTCGGCGTACTCGGTCAAGTACGTCTACTCGCGATCAGCTGCGTGGCATAGAGAATATAAAACGCCGAGTCATTACACAAAGAGCATACTCACTGTGTTTTGCCTTGGTACGACAATACAGCACGGTAAATTTAAGCTACATTGACTGTGCTGTATAAACGATCCAGGAGAAATAACAGTATATTGTAGAACGGTATTATAGAACAAAGGCGATATGAGATTAAGATTCATCTCTCATATGGATTACATAAATTTTATTCTATAATTTAAATTTTTAGTCAAAAAGTATTTAATTACTAAAAGCAATCCAATTAATATCACATACGTGCAATATGTAGAGAAAATAAAAACAATTTAGAATTGAACGTTTTAGGAAGGCTGAAAATGCATCGTTCGTTTTTATGAGATTTCTCTTTCTCTCTTGAGCTAGTTTTTCGTTTTGCTCGGATACATCGCGGCTTATTTCTATTTTTCTTATGGCCACTTCATGTCGCTTCAAGCAGGAGAGCGGAGTGAGCTTTGAGTGGAATCTGGAAGAGTCCAGAGGGGTTGAAGGGGCCGCTGAATGACGTAGAGGAGGCTAGAAGGGGTTGTCTCCTCGTTTTGCGACACAACCTCCTCGTCTTTATCACCGACGATGCTCGGGAACTTCTGTCCTTCTCTCTTTCCTCATCCACCGCCATCTTACGCCATCTCTACTTTCATCATCTCGCTCCTTTCCTCCGGTTCTGCCTCGAGTCTTCTGCTCTTGTCTTCCGGCAAAACACGATCAATCACTTTTCCCAGTCCGCCGGCATGACACCCCCTTTACACCCACGGCTATCCTCGAAGAGGGCCTGCTTCGTCAACGACGAGTCCTTTCGGCTACCGGACGAATGTGTGATCATCCAAGTGACGATTATCGTGAGATCACACACGTGGATCTGTCATATTGTTCCATGAATTTTGTGTCTCGCAGAGCATTATATATTTTGATATCCAAAAGAAGTTATATTTTCTAGTAGCTGGTAATTAACTTTGACGATGTATTAAATATCATTAATATTAATGGATTTTTAACAATATATTGATAACAGGACTAAAAATTTGTTTCTTGAAATTTATTTAATAAATTTAATATGTTTAAGTTTGCGGCTCGGAACAAATGTTAAAGTGACAATGTGCTTTCTAATTGATCTTAAACTATACTGTATGCCACCTCTTTATAAAAACCAGCTTGGCAAGAATTCTTTGTGGATTCAAGATTTAAAGAGTTCAACGTACTTGCATCGTGATAATGATAAATGAGGACGAAACAGTTTACGATTTAATATCAATCTTGGCCAAGGCTGGTGCTTATTATTGCCCATTAGTAAAGTTTTAATAACGCAATACGGTGCTCGGACGGGGGTGGAACCGTTGCGATTTATCATTTTCATCACTTTATTAACGGCGTTTCAGTTATATTCAACTTGTTGATCGCTTATGAAAGAGGAGCATCGTCTCTGATATTGAAGCTGCGCGAATTTGCGTTTCCGGAATTATTTTTAGCGAGGTCCCAGCGCTGATTAATCATCTCAACCAAAAGCAGAAAACTACAGATGAGAATATTTTGAGGAAAGTTGATATAATATTGAAAAAAAATAATATATATATATATATATATAAAGAAATTTTTATATATAATAATATGTTGTTAAATTTTCATTTGTTTTAGTTATAAGAAATGATTTATAGAGGATATAATACATGAATATACAGTTGTTAAATATTCAATTGTAGCTTCACAAAGTCATAAAATAGATTAGTTTCCAAGGAAATCGTACAATCTAATCTCTATCATATTCTTCGGGGAATCATCGATCGATGATTCGTTCCAAATTGGAATTATATTCAAAATATTTGCGATTCAATATAACTTTTTATGATAGGATCATGATCGATAGATCTTTCGGGAAAAGTCATGCGCAATACATTTCACGCATAGCGTTTCAGATTTTAAAATTTGAAAATGTGAATGTTTTTCGCATTCGTTCTAGCTCAAGGTGTTGGCAGCGGATCTGTCCGAGGTGAGAAACATGAGTCTCTGGAGATTCGATTTCGCTGCTGAGTCACGATCTCGAGCTTGCCGACATGAAAAGGGGTCCATGCCCCTTGGGGACATCCAGTATACATCTGATGTCTTAGATGCCTTCCGAACGTTCTTCAAGACTATTCCTTTTTTCACACACGACTAGACAAACATAAAAATATGCATTAGTATTATATAATTTTTTATACAAAGAGAGAATTATGTGTAAATTGTTTTTATGAAAAATTATGAAATAGTATTATAATATTACTTTTGCTAGTCAAACGACGACCGTTACAGTTTCTTTATATTTGATACAGAATTTTTGGATAATTTGGAAGAAAAAATGATTGTATAAAAAACACTGCGTGTGAGGTGACAATAACTCAACAAGCGGCATTGAAGCAAAGTCACGTTGATGGCAATGAACATGACATCTTTCATCAGGCAACTGGACGAATGCCCCAAGTTCGATGTCTGAAGCAGTATGTGAGTGAAAGTGTCAGCTGTAAGTCATTTCTTGGCCAACAGTAGCCCCACTTACAGGATGAGAGAAGATGAAGAGTCACTAGAAGCGCGATAATTATCGACTGGGTATTGCAGTAAAGATGTTAACGCGACCTTCGATCCGTAACCTCGGACAATTACCACCTGACATCGCCGCTTGAAAGCAATTTGCATATACAACATACTTTTCCAGCTTTCTTGAAAAGATAGTGGAAAATAAAGAAGTACCTGTAGTCATTTATGTTGACGGCGCATGAAGAGGTGCAAAAGTGGCTCGTTACCTTTGCAATTCGAAGCGTCGTTAGCGCCAATCCCTCTTGACAATCTTGACACTCTTCCTCAAACAAATCCGGGGTCAGCCAACGCGAGGACATACGGAAAATTACAATTCACATAGCTGTAGGTAAAAGCATCAAAAATTATACTTAGATATTTGTGTAAAAATGTAATAATAAATAATAATTTACTAAATTAAAACGCAGATCTAACATTATAGATCTAACATTATTATACTAATAACGATATGTGGTTTTTTTATCATAATTTCATTATTACTATTAGCATAATAATGATGGATTTGCATTTTCAGTAATTATTATTATTTGTTATTTT